AATTATAGAATTATTTAATCTTGATTCGCCGTTAATCGCGCACTTGAATGTTGACATGGCTGAAAATTTTTTATCAAGCCGAAGATAATTAATGTTAAAAATTAAATATTGAGAAAAGTAATTCTCACCAAATTTTTTTTGTTAAGAACGGTTAGGTTTCAAGTTTATTAAATGATCTATGTCTCAAAGTAGAGTTTAATATGATCAGTTAAGTAGTGTGAGAAGCATATATAAGCAACAACATCCTATTATTGGAGAAAACTGTGAGAAGCTAACTTTACTTTAGTGGGTAACTTTAGTATGAGACTCCTATTTGCTAACCCTTTGTCTGACCCTATTTGCCAACCCCAATGTTCAATATTAGATAACTCGTTAATGAAATATCGAGTTAAACATTTACAACACTTACACCGTACCAACCGAATGAGAGAGATAGACTTCTAGTAATTTACCTTCACGAGATATAATCCATCACGAATCATTCATTACAAGGATATAATATACGTTCTTAACCTTGCTGTTCCGTTCAGATTTATTTCAAATTATATTCATTTTCAAATGCTATAATTCTACACTTTCTAACACATCATTAAATTCTATTTTATATTAATTTTTCCATTTTTAAATATATATTTACAAATTATAAAAGAGATAAGAAACGAAAATATATAGTATTAAACTAATGATAAAACATATGATCAATGATGAATTAAATTCAAAAGAATTAAAGAATAAATTTGAATCCAAACGTATTAAATATATATATGTGAATGTACAAGAAGCGAATACACTGGCAGAACACTAAATAAAAGTTTTAATTTATAATTTAAATAAACATTTTGTATTGATATATAAAATAATTAAAAGAACAAATACAATTAAATTAAATTACACCGACTCTTCATACCTGACATTGTGTCAAATAATTCTCAGAATAATCGTGTCAATTTCGTAGTATAGTTATATGAAGGGGTCCGTCTCGTTGACATTAAAACATACACACGTACGAATAAATGGCGTCTATATCGCAAAGATCCTAGCAATACGTATTACGGAATCCTCGCCCAATTTCGCGAGCAGGCACAGGGAAGCGGGTTTTCGGGGTGTCGTGTTTAGTGGCGATAAATTTCGGGGTTTGTACCTTAAGACGCGACCGACTACACACATTCACACGTGTGCCTGTACACATGCGGTCGCGCGACAGTGATGGTGCGGCTGTTACAACGGCATCGCGGGAGCAACGCGACACAAATTTTCCGTCGTGGCAGCTACAAGGACATATTTAAGGTGTCCTCCGCGCGTCCTCATAATCTCCCCAATTTCCATTAGCGCCGGGTAATCCTTGCCGAGAAACACGTTTTTCACCCTTTTAGCTTAGTCCGTATTATACTAATTCATTACGAATCGCGAAGTCTCTTATAATACAGAATACATTTCTCTTATTAAATGCAACGAAGAAATAGTTGAAAGAAGAATTCAAAAAAATAAAAGAAAAAAAGCTATTTTTTTTGCATATATTAAATTATATGAAAAAATAATTATTTGCTAATATATAATATTAACCTCTTATCTTAAAATATCTCATTTTTATTTTTAATACATGTCGTATGTCATCATATCGTGTATATGTATGTATAATTTGTTTCGATTTATTATATCGCAACTGCTCACGCTTTTAAAAATCTCACTAAAGCGAATCCCCAAAGACATTCATTTGTGAATACAACGCGACGTACAACAACAAGAACGTTGCTCAATTTCGTACACGACAGCGCGCGAGTTAACATAGCCGATGTGAACTGCGAACGAGCAAGATCTTGTACATAACTGGAATAATTGCATTACGAGTTTAACTGTTCTAACGAGAATAGCGCTAACGATTTCTCGTCAGAGTTTGCACGGCACTCCTCATTACGCGCGGCAAACGCGTTGTCTTTTTAAACAGCTTCCCGAAACGTCTCGGTTCTGCTCCTGTTTCTCTCTCTCTCTCTCTCTCTCTCTCTCTTTTTCTGAGAATCCGCATGAAAGCACGCAAAGCTGCTGCCGCACAAGACAAAGCGGAGTCAAGAAAGATGTCAGAATAGCGTTTCCGCGTTTTAATCCGCAATGCGCCGTGGGCTCGTTTCTTTGCGGACGTACGGATCAACAAAAGCGGCGTTTCACGCATTTACGGTGGCAAGCAAGAGAAAGAGAACGCGAGGAGAACGGCTACATTTCGTGGAGGTATTGCGGCGCTCCGCGAGATAAACGAGTCGAGAATAATATTCGCCGCCTTTACCGCTCGCACGATGGATTTTGCGGTAAATTCGTAAATGTTGCCTTTCACTCATCTGCCGAAAGAAAAAAAGAGCAAAATCAAGCGAACATTTTAATATGGCCAAAGATATTTTAATGGCTCTCTATAAATCAAAAACTCTACGTGCACTCAATACAATATAGAACCCCCGTTGTAATTAAAAGGACAAGAGTCATTAAATACAGTAATGCAATTATTGGAGAAAGAAATTGTAGAAAATAAATTGTGCAGAAAGCGCAAGTAGGATAAAGGCAGAATATTCGGACTCGGTTTAAGATTCATGAGAAAGATTTACAAGAACTAATTAAAAATATCGTTGGATATAAAAAAAATTATTAGAATAAAATTATTATTATTATTCTCTTATAATCGCATAAGTTTTAATCTTAAAATGATTAAATAGAGTCCTCGTTAATGTAACATAATTATTACAATAACTGTTTTTTCTCAAATTTTGTTAAAGTGCCTGTACTTCTTATAAAATTGCGAATATTTTTATGTTTTATAACGTGTCTATACTTTTATAAAAATGCGAGTATTATTTTATTATATAATATATTACAAGAATTAATTATCCTACTGTAATGTTTTCTAGATCGTTTGACTTCCAGTTTTACTTCCATGGAAATTTCGTAAATGCAAATTTGCGCAAAACGTTCAAAAAGTTTTCATTAGAAAAAAGGATCACGTCGTTATAACTTTTCGGCCGGTGGCGCATAACGTTCGTTACCATCGGTGTGTAGTTATATCGATGTCGATGGAAACCTGAATATTTTTGGCTCACGTCCAAATTTGCGATGAATTTGCAGAATTCCGATAGCAAATTGAAAGAATGCGGCCGCGTGTAAAGAGCGCGCGAAAAACTGCACGAGGAGAATCTCGACGAGGGCGTACCGCGTGCCGGATGAATTTCAGGACGAGTTCGATCGAGAGAGAGGGAGAGAGAAAGAGAGAGAAAAGTATAGCTCCCGATTCCTCTCAATTTAATATAACTGCTTTATGGGGACATTCAAAACGTATGACTTCATATACCGGGGATACGCGCGAGCAATTACAATCGCAATCGCGCTGCTCCAGTACCGCCACAAATTATTTTCGCTCTGGCGTATGAATCACGCCGACAACGCCCGCGCGATGCGCGCAATCACGTTAAAATAAAATTTCCGTCGCTGCCGCGTGTAATATACTGTACGAGCTAATTAGCGATAACCATAATACGCCGTTATATGCGCCGAATCGTAACCGTAGCCGCTTTTGTCCCGAAGTTAACAAAGTTAACATCGAAATATTATGCAGGCGCGAAAATCAACAATTATCAGTAGTTTATTGGTTTCAAATTTCAAATAATGATGCTGAATCGTAATATCAAATAAAGGGAAAGCAAAGCTTTTATAACTGCTACTATCATCGTGTCAAACTATCAAAAGGTACCATTAGCAAGTACTTTTATTATTTAACAAGAGAATTATTCATATCATTTATATAAAAAAATGCAAGGTTTTCGTAAAAAGTAAAATATTCCACGATTTGTAGGCATATACACACATAACGCTTAATAATATTGAAATATCGTGAAATAAAAATTGAGTTACAATTTCATTAAAATAAACTAAATCATGTGCATAAATTGTTTTAGTTGTGCAATTAATATACTTTTTATAACTTTTGCAACATTTATGCATCAATAGAAGAATAAAAGTATAATGTTTCCACTAAGTTTTGTGGAATGTCACAGGCAAATAATTTGAAGAAAAAACGCATGCATTATACGAAGGCGGTTCAATAATAAAAGTACAGGCATTAATCATACGTGATCTGTAGGCACAAACAATCTCGAAGTTACGTGTACATATTGTTACAAGGAGGAGAGGAGTAGTAGCCATGCAAACGTTGTTGTTTTCCGTCCACTTGTCGGAGTTTGATAAGAGAACGAAATGGTAGGATGGAAAATTGTTACAAGTTCTACACTGAGAAAAATAAGTTGTTGACTTGACTAAATTCGTCCAACTAATTACTATTTCTTTGTATTTCTTTAATTGAAATATTTAAGTATTTAAGTCAAATATACATCATGTTAGATTTAAGAATTTCAATTAAAGAAATACAAAGAAATAGTAATTAGTTGGACAAATTTAGTCAAATTAACAACTTTTTTTCTCAGTATAAGTGCGCGCAATTATCAGATTTTTGCAAGCAGAAGACGCGCGAATGAAAGTAAGATTCATTGTTAGATTAATAAATGTTTATGGCCAGAATGTTGCTACTTTTGAATTTATTGCATTCTTCTTTTCATCTTAAAACATTCGGGTCATAAACATTCAGTAATCTAATGATGAATCTCACTCTCATTCACACTTTCTGCTTGCAGAAATCTGATAATTGCATGCACCTCAAACTTTGAATAATTTTTAATCACACCGCCCATTTCATTTACTTGTCAAACTCTGATCAGTGGATGGAAGACACAACGCTTGTACAGCTACTACTCCTCTGCCCCATGTAACAATACATGCCCATGATGTCCAGATCATGTACAGATCATGTATAATCAATGCCTATACTTTTATTATTGGACCACCTATATAAAATTTAAAAAATCTATGTTATATAAGTTATACTCTGCAATTATTATAACATGATTTAATGATAAAATTACGTAAGGCACTCAACTACTATTATAAAGAAACGATGGAATATTACTTACCAAGCCGTAGATCTGCCACGATCTGCCATGATATACAATAGATCTGTGACAATGTAAATCAGCTGCAACATCCAAGAGAGCTTCTTCAAACAACCTCGTAGCATCTGTAAAAGGATATTAAAATATTTGAAAAAGCTGTACTACGCAGTATTATACAGTTAATATATATACACATATATATTATAAATTTTAGTAGCTTTAAAGTTATTTAGAAATTGCAATACAATTATTCGCTTAAAAAGCTAATCCTCAGGATTGCTTTTACATATATGCAAATCTGATTTTTACGTTCTCTCGTTCATTTGATGTTATTATTTCATTATCTATATATATATTCTAAAAAGAGAGCTAATGAAAAGCTAATAAAAAATGAGAGAATGAGAATTCTACTAAAACATACATTGTGCATTATCAAAAATTATCTTAATGCAATTACTAGAGAGCACTAAAATAGTATATATGATATCAACATAATAAGTAATCACTAATAAGACAATAATGAACAATAATGAAAATCATACACCATTATATGAAAAATATATGAGACAAACATAAAAATACTCACCAATTAAAGTCATTTTGCGCCTACTATTACTTTCTTTGTTCAGTCACACACAAATACATATTAATCCGAAATTAATTTCGATCGCGCGCGTTAATTAATCGTCATTTTCCACGACACTCCCGGTACATTATTTATCTGCGACACATTCCGAAAATGCAAATACACGATATCTTGCTCGTCAATATATTCGATACTTTCGACGCTCGTTTACACACGAATTCCGTTTTCGAGTAAAAGGTGCGGAAATGCGTAGAGATCGCGATTTTTGCCTCGAGTAAAAAGCACGAAAGTGCGTAGAAACCACGATCCCTCCCACGAGAACCACGATACTCCCGGTACATTATTTATCTACGACACATTCCGAAAATGCAGATACACGACATCTTGCTCGTCAATATATTCGACACTTTCGATCCTCGTTTACACACGAATTCCGTTTTCGAGTAAAAGGTGCGGAAATGCGTAAAGATCGCGACTTTGCCTCGAAAAAGCGCGAAAGTGCGTAGCAACCACGACTTCTGCCGCGAGAAAAGGCGCGAAATGCATAGCAACCGCGACCCCCCCCCCCCCCC